TTCCCCCCCCCCCCCAATGCTGTGTGTTGCAGGGAGCCAGCGCCATGGCCGAGAAGACGTCGCCGAGCCCCAGCAGGGACATCACACCGCTGCAGCAGATGCTGGCCTCGGGGACAGGGGCCATCCTCACCTCCCTCTTCGGTGAGGACTGTGGGGTGCGGGTGGGCGCGGGGGGTCTGGCGCGCTGCGGCGTGGCTAAAGGATGGTGTCGTTTCAGTGACACCGCTGGACGTGGTGAAGATCCGTCTGCAGGCCCAGAGGACCCCCTTCTCCAAAGGTAACCCCACCCAGGGCAGGGCAGGGGTCTCCAGCCAGCCCCCCCACCCTGCTCCAAATCAGCCAGTGAGCAGCCCACGTGGATGTCTCCGTTGGCAGAGCTGGTGACGGGGATTTCTCTGCTCCTGAGCGTGGGGCCGTCGCGAGGTGGCAGGTTACCATGGGCCCCTCGTCCTGGCGGGCTCGGGGGGCCCTGCTGGGGGAGCTGGGCTGATGCTTGGCTCCGTCCTTCCCCCTCCGCAGCCCCGTGCTGACGCTGAGTGGGGTCAGCGCTGTGCCCGGCAGCCCCCCTGCTTGCCGGGGAGCGGAGTGGAAGGGCTTGGTTCACTCCAGTCGCTTGCTCTTTCCCTCACTGCCTTTGTGCTTGTCTCTGCTGCTCCCCACAGCTCCCATGGGGCAGGAGAGACCCTGTGGGCTCTGCCCCTCCCTGCCTGCTCCCCTTTCCTGCGGGGACAGCAGGCTGGGGCTGGTCCCAGGGGACTGGTTTGGTGACAATAGGGACTGCTTGGGAAGTGACTTGGGGGGCATCCAGCCCCTTCACCCGCAGAGCTTTCCCACTGCCCAGCTCGGAGCTGTGGCACATGTGTGTGCCCCAGCCACGGGGGAGGTGGCACATCCCCTGTGTCATCGCTCAGCACGTCCCCGTTGTGTGTTTCAGTGTTGCCAGCACGGTCTGTGCCCTGGGGCGCTCAGCCAGCCACATGTGAGTACGTCCGCGGGCTCTGGGCAGCTCCTGCCGCCAGCAGCTTCGCTTCCCCGAGCCTTGACCTCAATTGGCTTCTCTGCTGGTGGTGGCTCGGGCTCCTCTGGCTGAGGACACCCCTCTCTGGTGTGGGGGCTGTCATCATCCCTGGCCCTGCAGCCCTGCTTTGGGGTTGGCCCTGCAACATTCCCGCTGGGTCCTTGCCCGGGGCAGAGGGGTCTGCCGGGGGTCTGTTGTGTAACAGGCCTGGCTGGCTGTGGTCCCCAGTCCTTGCCCTGTCTTGTCGCTCTGTGCTGTTGCTACTTAAAATTCCCGTGGATCTCCGCTGCCCTGCTTGCTCCCCGCTGCCCAGCGTCCCTGGGCCTGGCTTGAAAGCACGGTGGCAGGGCTGTGCTGGCTCCCTGCAATGGCGTACCCACTGTGCCAGGGCAGCGGAGCTGGCACCAAGCGAGGCATAAACCTCTCCTGCTGTGTCCCTGTCCCTGTGGGGGGACTGGGTGCCCCCCACCTGTGGGTCTGGCTGTGGTCAGACCCTGCCTGGAGTGTTATCCCTCTCCTGGCCCTGGTCTGGGGGTGATCCACACCAGGCCCTGGCACTGAGGGTTCAGGTTTTTCCTGGAAGAGATGATGGTTTTGGGGATCAAATGAGCTGGGCACAGGGCAGAGGAGAAGGGTCTCCAGTCTAACAGCAATGCTGTTGTCTTTCACCCCAGGGAAGTGTTTCCTCTACTGCAACGGGCTCATGGACCACCTGTACGTCTGCCAGAATGGCAACGGCTGCACTGCCTGGTACAAGTCCCCCACCCACTTCACCGGCACACTGGTAGGAGTTGCGGACACAGGCAGGGTGGGCAGGGGCCTCCCTGCCCCAGTGGGGGTTTGGGGTGTTTACTGGGGGGGTGCTTGCCTGTCTCCCATCTCTAACCCCTCTCCCCGGTGCTCTCCTCTCTCCTCAGGATGCCTTCGTGAAGATCACACGCTATGAGGGCATCAGGTCTTTGTGGAGCGGCTTGCCCCCCACCCTGTGAGTTTGGACCCTGCCCTGGGGAGGAGTCTGGGTGCTAAAGCCTGTCTGGGCGCATGGGTACCCACCCCAAGCCTCCTGCCAGCTCCCAGGGAGGGCACACGTCCCCCTCACACCCCTCCTCCTCGGCAGGGTCATGGCTGTGCCAGCCACTGTCATTTATTTCACCACCTACGACCAGCTCCGGGACTGCTTGCACGCTCGGACGGGGAGCCGGGGACACCACATCCCCTTGCTGGCTGGGGCCCTCGCCAGGCGTGAGTACCCCTCCTTCCTCCCTGGGGTCCCCCTGCACTCCCCCTGCATCCTCTCAGGAGAGCACAGCGGGTCTCTTGCCTGTCGGTGCCCACGTTTGGCACCTGGCTCTGCTGTCACGGTGCTCTGCTTGGCTCCGGGCTGGCTACCAGAGGGGACAGGACTGATGCCCAATGTTCCCCCGCCATTGCAGTGGGCGCCGTAACGGTCATCAGCCCCTTGGAGCTCATCCGCACCAAGATGCAGTCACGGCAGCTCAGCTACAGGGAACTGGGCGTCTGCATCCAGTCGGCGGTGGCTCAGGACGGCTGGCTGTCCCTCTGGAGGGGCTGGGGACCCACCGTGCTGCGGGACGTCCCCTTCTCAGGTACAGCTGCGACGGGACGGGCTGAGCAGTGGTGCTGGGAGATGGTGGGGGACAGACACAGGCCAGGGCAGCCCTGTGTGTGGGGTCTGGGCTGCCTCATAGCACCGGTGTTTCTTCTCCCAGCTCTCTACTGGTTTAACTACGAGCTGGTGAAGGAGTGGCTCTGTGGGCAGGCCCGGCTGGACGAGGCCACCTTCATGATCAGTTTTGCATCCGGGGCCATCTCTGGGACGGTGAGTTTGGGACCCTGGGGTCTGCACCTGCACTGGGAGGAGGGGAGCAGAGGGGAATGCCCCCCCCGGGGAGAAGGGATGGGGCTGGGACAGCACTGGGAGGTGACAGCAGGGATGGCACTGGGCAGGAACGGCACTGGGCAGGGACGGCGAGGTCCCAGCTCACCGCCCGGCCGCTGCCCCCGCAGGTGGCTGCGGTGCTGACGCTGCCTTTCGACGTGGTGAAGACCCAGCGGCAGATCGAGCTGGGAGACAGCGAGGTGCACCCAGGTGAGGGGCTGGGCTGCAGGCGGGTGCCTGGGGGGGCAACCGGGACCCTTCCCGGTGGTACGTGGGCATCCCCAGACCGTCACCCGCTCCCCTCTCCCCGCAGTCACAGCCTCCAAGCCTTCCTCCACCTGGCTGCTCATGCAGCGCATCCATGCCGAGTCTGGCACCCGGGGGCTCTTTGCAGGTAGGGACATTGCCCCCATCCCCAGACTGGGGTTTGCTGGTGCCCTGGTGTCACTGAGAGACTAATGGGGTTGTCCTTGCAGGCTTCCTGCCCCGCGTCATCAAGGTGGCACCCGCCTGCGCCATCATGATCAGCACCTATGAATTTGGCAAAACCTTTTTCCAGAAGCTGAACCAGGAGCAGCGGCTACGTGGGTTGTGAGCCAGGGCTGGGGCAGGGCTGGATGGGGACAGTGACACCCCAGCTCCTGACAAGGGACCCCGGGAGCAGCGAACTGCACTCGGCCATGCAAAGCCCAAGTGCCTTGGTGCTGCGCTCTGCATCCCCACTGCCTGTGCGCGGAGGCATGGCCGGCCCGGCCCCCGTCTCCAGCCCCAGCCACGCTGGGGGACATCTGTGCCTGCTGCTGTGACACGGGGGGGGAGGATGAGGAGTCCCCCGTGCTCATCCCTTGAGGCTGGAGAGATGCTGCTGCTGGATTCACGGATGCTTTGGCAAGGACGGGGTGTCCCAGGAGCCTCGGCAGGGTGGGAGATGGGAGATGGGGCTCTGGCAAGGACCAAACCCCCAGGGGCATCTCTGGGTGCCAGCCTGGGCCCCCCCCAGCCCTGCTCCACCCAGGGATCTGCCCCTCTTCACCATCAGTCACGCACAGTGTCCCCTTGCCGGCTCTGTGTGGCATTGGGGACACATCAGACCCTCTCCCTGCCTCTGGATCTCTCCTCCCCCTCGGGGTGTCCCTGTCCCCTGCCAGACCCCGGGCCCGGACCATGTGTGGGGACAGACCTCGCTGCTGCTCGGGGGTGGGGGGCAACGTTTTGGCACCCTCTGCCTGTGCCGTGTCCCTTCACTGTGAGGGCCTGTCCCAGCACTGTGCCCGGGGTGGGCGCTGCCCCACCTTACCCTGGGGCTCCAGGGGGGAATTTCTCTTATTTTCTTAAATAAAATATTATCTCTTAGGGAAAGGAATTCTTTCCCTGCTCCCTGCCTGTTGGGGCTGTGGAAGGCATCCTCGTGGGTGACAGCCGTGTCCTTGCTGTGTGGGCACAGTGCTGCTATCCACCACCTCCTTGCTGGGTTTTACTGGGGGTAAGGAGACCCCAGGACCTCCCCGCTACCCCCAGCAGCAA